AATAGGACTAGTAGGTCTGCTTCGAGTGTGTCCCAGCATGCTTCAAAAAATTCTTTCGGTAGTCTGTCGTCCCCTGGTGCCTTACCTTTCGCTGTATCCTTCAGCGTCTGTCTGAGCTCTTCTCCAGTGATTGGGCGGTCCAAACTTTGTCTTGAGGAGTCTGTGAGACGTCCTAGGAGCGCATCCCATAGGTCTGTCATTTGAGTCATGTCTGTGTCCATGTCTTCAAAATGTCTGCGCGTTGTGAGTATGTCCGGAAAATAGTCTTTAGCATACTCGCACATTTCTTCAAGTAAGTTGGTAACTGGTTTATTTAGGAGGTATGGATGTTTAAGTTCCATCATTGGAACTTACCTCCTTCTTGGTAGTAACTTCTTGAAAGCCTCCTTTGACATTTTGTATGCCGCCACAATCCCCGTTTCCTCCAATATTTACCTTCTCCACTTCTCCTTTATCTAGTTGTAGGTCCTCCCAGATTTTCTACCTCTTGACTCTCTCCTCCGCCCACACCAACTTTGAGATTGGGTGTCCCACAATTCTTCTCTCTGCTTCTTCTACTTGACGTAGGCATTCCCTCTCCTCTCTTCCCCTCATACTTGTCACTATTGTTAAGAAGGTGTTGAGCTTGTATGAAATTATTCGTAGCCCTGCATCCACCCACTCTGCCTGGGACTCGAAATGTTGTTTTGCCGCATCCCAGTCAATCCAAAATTGTCTTACCCAATCTCTCCATCCCTCGTCCTGCAGGTTAGTGGTATTGAATTTGAACAGACCTGGGCCTCTTTGAAGGTTCGCCCCTGCTACGAATTCCATAATGACTGGTTTATGGTATGAAAAAGATTCATTTTGTTCCTCTATCTTGTTACCTATTCCTGCCGCTTCTTCTGATAGAAGGAAAAAGTCCAGCCTCCGTTTAACTCTCACTACTGTAGTCGTGTTTGCGAACCACGTGAACCCTGCCTTCTCTGGATTTCTCTCTCTATAGACGTCTCTCAACCCCCATGCCTGCATCCACCTGATCAGGTAAGCTCTGTCACTTTTTATTCCACCATCCTTCTCCAAATCGGTCCCTAGTCTCAGGACTTCGTTCCAATCTCCAACTACTATCATTGTCTCTATCTTTGGTAAGACTACAGGAAGGGACTCAAAAAATTCTAGCCTATCCAGCGGATTATTTGGAGCATAAACAGTAGCAATCACCCAGTCTTCTTCTTCGATTGCGAGTTTCACCCATAGCCATCTCCCCTATAGATCGACGTCAAAATCTATTACTGTAGTCTCTACATCGTGATGAATAGCCATTTCGTCAAAACGAACATATTATATTTTTTGAACGAAATCAAAACTGACTTTTTTTGCCAAAATCCGGTCGGAATTTTTTGCTTCTGGGGGTTCGGTGTTCCCAAAACGCCGGACCCCCTACATGTATCTGGTCCATGGTTGAGACCAGATACAAAAAAAAAAAATAATAATAATTTTGTATCTGGTCTCAACCATAGACTAGATACATGTAGGGGGTCTGGCGTTTTGGGAACGCCGGACCTCCAGGAGCAAAAAATTCCAACTGGATTTTGGCAAAAAAAGTCAGTTTTGATTTCGTTCAAAAAATATAATATGTCCGTTTTGACAAAATGGCCGTTGATGAATCAAAATCGTTGTTCCACCCTTGCTCCCTCTCGCAGGGGACCACAGTTGGGATCCATCCCACCACTCTGTTAGGCTCTGCACTCTGGTTTCCGATAACTTAGTCTCTTGGATTAGCAAAATGTCAATTCTCTTGTTGTGCATCCAGGACTTTATCCTGCTCCCCTTGTTTTTGCCTCCTGAGTCTCCGATTCCCTTTACATTCCAGCTTGTGCATTTGAGTCTAACCATTGAGCGTTCCTGAGGCTGAGGATGCTTGGATTTGCCCTGCGATTACCGCTTCCGGTCTAATGACTTCCTGCCGTTTTTCGTTGAGGCTCTCTGCCAGATACATTGGTGTTAGATTCCTTCTCCGTGGGAGTTTCTCGTCGAGTTTCAACAGGAAGTCGGCGCCTACTCCTGGTTCCACGTAGATATATGGAAGAATGAAGTGGTCTCCCATAGTGAATGAGCAAAGCAGCACGCACTCCATCCCCACCTGGGGCATTTTATCCCAGTGTTCGTCATGAATTTTTGTGTCGATTAATGGTACGAAATATTTAATCCTTCTTCCTCCGGGTGTGTCCACCAAAATCTTTGGCATCATGTCCTCGAGAAATAGTCGAAATTGGAATCTGTTTGCGAAAAGTCTCTCCACTACCTCGACTATTGTCTGCGGTGTGGCCAGACCTTCGATTGGAGTGGCCGATAGTATCAAGTTTCCTCCATCTTGTCTTAAACCCAGGACAAACATGTTCAGGCCGTGGAGGCTGAGGACAAATGGAAGGAGAAAAAACTCCTTTAGTTCTTTATCTCCTCTTCCTGCCATTTCTACACCCTCTGGAATATCCCTGAAGGTCTTTTTTTCTTCCTCTTCCCGCCTAGCTGTCGTTGTTACCGCTCCTTTCGTCGGTATTATTCCTTCATCTTCCGGATCTTCGGTTTGATTCCCTAATCCATCTCCCCGGATCTTCCTCTTCCCGTGTGGGTTCTTTTCTTCTACATCCATCCTCGTTTCTGACGTGGCTGGTTGTCCATCTTCCGTGGCTCCCCCTCTCCCCGTTTCAGTTGTTGTCCCCTCCGCTGGTCTTGGTTGTACTTCCCCTTGTGGTAGACTTGTCCCCACAGATGCTCCGCATCGTACTGGTACGCCTCACTGTGCTAACCATAGCGCTGTGTGCTGCCATATGCTAGCTGCTTGAGCTTGCTGCCAATATTGCGAGGGGCCTGCTGCATATGGTGGTGGCTGGTATCTCCAACTGCCTGTCTGATAGTTCGGAATTATCGGAGTTGGCCACACGACTTGCATTCCTTGTTGCTGCTGATGCGCTTGGGCCTGTTGTTGTATTTCCTGTTGCATTGGGTCGCCTTCGTGGTGTATCATTCCTCGGCCGCCTTGTCCTGTTTGAGATTTTGTGCCTACTTCATCTCTCCCGCCTTTGGGTTGGTCTCTTGCCGCATCTCTTATTGCTCTTGAGTTTATCTATTCTCTCTGGTTCCTTCTCCTTCCGCTGAAATTGTCACCCGATTCTCCTCCTCCTTGGCTCTGCTCGTTCTGCTCAGTCAACCTTGGGCAACCATTTGTTGCCGTGTGGAACCACCACTTGCATCTTTCACACCATAGGGTTGTTCGACATACTAGAGTCAGCTTTATGATCTCTCCATCATCTAACTTCATTGGCACTTCCGGGGATAAAGCTGCTTCTGCTTCTCTTGCGAAATCATATTTCAGATTCATTAGCTTTGGTCTCTGGTTCCGCAGGGCATGCCTTCAGTATTGCTCCAAACTTTTTTTGAAGCATATCTTCGAGGTGGAACCTGGCCCGCACCGGAACACGTATCACTGTCACCCAGAATTTAGTTTCCTCCTCCACTCGTCTTCTCTCCGCCAATTCCTTTTTTGTCATCCATGGCTTGAAGATCATGGGGTATTCCACACTTCGAATTACCACCTTGTCTTCGCCTTTTGCCACCATCCAATTCACCACTTGAGTTGACGTGGCTATGTATGTCATGACATTCGGACCTTCCCTGTGGACTCTTCCTCTCTTGACGGTTTTGTCGAATACCCGCCGCCTCTGCCATTCATTTTCATATGCTCTTATTAAATCCTCCTTGATTTTTAGCGATAAATCTCTTGTCGCGCCCTTGAAATATGACCGTAACAACCCTTTCCTTTAACCACGCTGTAGTCAACTCCCCAACTCTTCTATCCACTTGGAACACACTTTCTCCATTGATCTCCACGAACTCCCCATGGTTTAGTCTCTCAGGGACTACTCCATCCTCGAAGCACTTACCCAGTAGTATTATGAGTCTTGCTTCTTCTGAGAGATTTACATCTCTTTCCCTCGGTGGCGATCTCGCTGCTTGGTTTCTCTCACCTTGCTGAGGTTGTTCACTTCTTGGCATAGCCGCCATCCTGTACGTGATAATTTGTCCTCGCCGCTTCTTGTTGTCTGTTACTCTTCGATTCTCTTCGGCTTCCTTTGCACCGTACTTTCTTCTTCCTCTCCCGCTGCTATGTCCTCTACTCTCTCCTATTTCTCTGTGTCTTCCTTACTTCCCTGCCTGCACATATCAATGGTGGGCGCCTATCCGGCGCACACCAATGCATGAGTCACAACGTTCATAATTTCCATCGCTGAGACATACTTTCTCCTAGGTCGGTCGATGAAGTGGATATCCCCCGCTGCTTGGGCGGTTTGCTCGGAAGTTGCCGAGCGGGACCCTTTTCCTTACCGTAGCCCCATCATGGCGGTGGGAAGCTTCGGCCGACCGAACCGGCATCGCCGATAGCGCTAAACTTAGAGCGCTCGTAGCGCCCCGTCTTTTTTTTTTTTTTTTTTTCAAGCTGGATATATTTTTCTTTTTCTTTTCTCGATTTGTATGTCATCCTTGCGCAGGGCCCATGCGACTTAATCTTCCCTCGATGTACAGGGTGTCATCCTTGCTGGACATCCATTAAAATTGGGACGGTAGATTTTGTTTGTTTGGGCCCACCACCCTTTTCCCTCCAAACCTAAGCCTTGCCTGATCACCATACATTTTTAAATCACCCAAAGATTTTGCTGCGGGGCGGGACGGCACTCGGTCCCGTATATATATATATATATTGACGATATATACATCGTATATGATATATATAAAAAGCTATACTCTTCTCTCAATTTCACCTCACCCCTAAAAATATACAGTGACAGGGCACTCAGAGTGGAGTGGTGGTCAGTGAATGAATGGTGGTTGGTTTTGGAAGGGGGACCCCCCCACCCCCCCCCACGCCCTGTCTCAGGCGCTCCGGGTTGGGGGCGGGGGGGGAGGCGAGGGGGAAGAGCGCGTCGCCGGGATCACTGTCGTCGTTGCGAGCGACACATTGTGCGACGTCGCGGCCATCGGTTGGGTGTATCGTCCGTTGGGGTGGGGCGGAAAGACAGGCGGAAGGAGGCGCGCCAATTCCGAGGAAGGCGCGCGCACGAAAGCTCCCTACCTTTAAACCCCTGGAAAGAACGCCACGTGGATCTCCAGCTAGCCGCTGGCCTGGAATGGCTATGGCTGCCGTTGGGACTGCCGCTGTGCAAGGGGGTCGACTTCTACTCCACGCCAAGTCACCCGTTGTGTCATTGCTAGAGGGACGCACGCAGCTTGGCGCGCAATGCCACGGGCGACAGGCTAACGCCGCCGCGATTGCGCTGTGCGACAGCTCGGCGCGTCACGTGGCGGCGCGCGATGGGGCGCTCCCTCTTTGCCACGCGGCGCCCGCTCGTGGGGACCCGTCTCAGCTTCGAGGTTTCGCCGGGTCGTCCTTTGCCCTCGGCAGTGCGTTGCAGAAGTGTGCGCCTTCCACGTCAGCATCCTCTTTGGAGAGGGTGCCACGTGGCAGTTCCTTTACTGTTCGTGCGGAGACGAAGTCCAACAACCTCGGGGATTTCGGAGGCCAATGGCTGAGCTGTACAACACGGCACGTGCGTCTGTACATTGGGTACATCGACCCCGAGAGCCACGTGATGGACCAGTCGCAACTGGATAAGATCAGTCTCAATCTGGATCCCGACAATGAATTTGTGTGGACAGCAGAGAAAGAGCAGAAAGTGTACAATTTCTTCACAGAGCTCCTCGATCAATACGAGGTGCGACTAGTTCCTTTTTTTTTTTTTTTTTTATAACGAGGAATCTCCTTAATATGAGTGCACTTCTTCGTTTATTTTTCCACTTTTATTATTATTATTATTATTATTATTATTATTATTATTTTTAACGAATGAGTGCACTTTCGTTTATTTTTCCACTTTTTATTTTTATTTTTTTTGCTTTCTAACGAGGAATCTCCTTAATATTTTTCTTTCCACTTTCTTATCCAGAATTCTTTTTCTGTTTCCTTTTCCCCCCCCCCTTTTTAATATCCAAGCTCAAATGAAATTCTCATAGATTTCAGGGGAAATAAATAGTGAATAAAATAAAAATATTCATAGATTCGATACGACAATTCTATCACGGAGAAAAGCAATTGACTTTTTTTTTTTTTTACTAACAAACAAAGCAACGAACTCTCTGCCATGAACCTTACGTCTTCCTTCTCTCTCTCTCTCTCTCTCTCTCTCTCTCTCTCTCTCTCTCTCTCTCTCTCTCTCTTCTTTTTTTGGGGTTCTGCTTACGCTATTGTTACAATCAACGCCGCGCCGCGGGCGATGCCGAGCAGTGGTCATTGACCATTGAACAGACGATACATTGGAGTGGCGTCAGACAGATGTGAAGAAGCATGAAGCCGATTTACCGAAAATACATGATTTTTTTCCAAAGCAAAATATCCCGATGAAATACGAAACCAATCTCTTTCAAAGGGAAATTCTATCAAGAGAAAGTGATGATTCTTCATTTGCCGTCATGATCCCAGGGCTGTACATGCCGCCATCCCCCTAATTAAGAAATGAGCCTAGGCTACCAGAGTGGCCCGGGTCCACTTGCCCGGCCGGGCCAAAAAGAAATTAAAAAAAAGAAGAAAAAAAAAAAAAAAATTTGGTAAAGAATTTTGATTTGACCCTAAGGCAAAAATTGTTCAGTTTATTTTTCTGCATAACATAGTTTTTTTTCATCTTTTTTGGGACCTTCCCTGGTGCTTGCACGGCCGGGCCGCCCGGGAAAATAGGGTGACCCGGGCGGCCTGGCTGGTAGCCTAGAAATGAACACAATTTCTGTTATTCTACGACCCTCATCCATTTGTACGATCGGATCTACCAAAGATGGATGATGATGATGATGATGATGATGATGAGGAGGAGGAGGAGGAGGAGGAGAACAACAGAAAAAGGAGGAGGAGGAGGAGGAGGAGTAGAATAACAGAAAAAGGAGGAGGAGGAGGAGGAGTAGTAGAATAACAGAAAAAGGATCACCAACGATGGTATTGCCATGTTATTGCCATGTTTACGGGGGCCACCAAGGGATCTACGAAACAGTTATTGCCATGTTGACGGCCCCACCAAGGGATCACGGAAGATGGTATTGGCTCTACTAATCCTTCCCAAAAGAAAAAGAAAAAAGGAAAAAAAGGCATCAATGGGACGGTAATGCACATGCATTTGGAGAGCATTTCATTGCAGAAGGATCATTGTGATTGAACTGGCTATCATTGCAGAAGAACCATTTTCCATTTCCAAAAGGGGCCGTGAGTACCATTACGGCTCCGTTATGTACAAAAAGGGCTATCATTTTGCAAATGCACTTTTGTGTATATGACGGCGACTCAAAAGGAGAAAGCAACAGTTGAATTCGATAGTGACTATCACTGCAGAACCCAAAAAAAAAAAAAAAAAAACACAATAATCTGAAATAGAGCATGCCTTGCATTTTTCCTGCCGTGAGAACATGGCGATAATCTGAAACTCGCTCATGGGTGGTGAGTGTAGGCGGGCCGTAAGGCGCTGGGTTGGTGGCATGCCTCCTGATGAGACCGGAGCGCACCCGGTTGAAACGCGCTCCGGTTGAAACGTAGAGGAATGCGTGCGCGTTCTGAGCATGTGTACACGCTGGTTTACTCCTTTGCAATATCAGATGGCCATCTACCGTGAGAACCCCCCCCAAAAAAAGAAAAAGAAAAAGAAAAAGAAAAAGAAAAAGAAAAAGCGATACTAAGAAATAACCGCGACTGTGAAGAAGTTGCTCTTCCTTCCCGTTTTGCCATTTTCCTCTTCTCGAACACCGTCGGGACTCTCTCTCTCTCTCTCTCTCTCTCTCACACACACACACACACACACACACACACACACACACACACACTCACTTGGCGTTATCTGGGCTGCTCAACTCCGCGGTCACGCTCCGCACCCTATTTGGCGAGTGTTGTGCATTTCCCCCCTCACCCATTACACCTCTCCCCTAGTGCCATCTCTGCCTTTCACTTGGCATCTCATTTCCATTACAGGCTCTCCTTCTGTGTAAAACACTGGTAACCCAGATTGGGTGTACAGTCAGCCCTGGTTGATCTGTTAGAGCCATTGGTTTGGTTTAAATGGTTTCGTAGCACCCATCCCCTGGTCCTGTCGACTCTACCCATGGTTGTGTGTGGCTGCCCCTACGAGTCTCGATTCTCAGGCTGCATTCACCCCTCCCGGTGAGACAATCCCATTCTATGTGGTTACCGCTACACGACACGGCGTCCCCGGGGCTAGGTCCCACCTGCACCAAATGGAAGAGATACTGACCGTAGATAGCAAAAAAGATCAACGGTGGAAATCTACTAATTTGCGCAAGTGGGACCTTGCCCCCCTTTGTGACATATACCTTATGCTTTTTCGGGACTGAAGTGGTTGGCCTTCAGGACTTTTAGAGAATTTTCAGTCATTTTTCATTACACTTGTCCTAGTTAGGATTACAAAATCAGACATTTGATTCTTTGTGTTGTGGGCATTATGTAGCTTAGGCTGCATCACATGTGCTCTGCATGGAGCTTGCTTGAGCTTGCTCCGCATCCTAAGATGATTCAGTACAGCGGTTGCAAGGTTCCGCCGTTTTTTTTTTTTTTTTTTTTTTTTTTTTTTTTTTTTATTTTGTTGTTGTCGTCTCGGTCCGTTCTGGCGCCAGCATGGGCCTGTCTCTTATA